CGACCATTGTTAAATGGATTCACCAGAGCTTAAGAACTAGGGAGATGTCCCTGATTTATTTCTTGTCAGTGATTTCAGTTGCCTGAGTTTCATTGTTGGGTTGTAGATCTGTCCCACATTATGTGCATTTTCAACATGCACAGTGCATTTACACATATGATATACAGACCTTGTATCATGCTGGTTTACTGATGCCCAGATAACGCTAAAAAGGCTCACATTTTACAGGAGTGATTTGGTTAGGCGGAAACAGGAAAGGGCATAAAAAGTGATGGAACGTGGGTTCAGTTTGCACAAAGGAGAAGTGAAATCGGAATGCTGAGAACCAGGGGTCATTTCCTGCGGGAGCCCACAGGAGTGGAGCTCCGGCAGTAAGGAGCCCAGGGCTCCAGGCACATGCAACAAGCCCCGCCCCCTGCTCCCAGCAGCCCTCAGTCAGGCCAGGAGGAGCAAGAAGCAGCCAGGTAAGTTACAGAGCCCCCCCCGCCTGCCTTCAGGTACAAGCTCTCCCTCCTCTGTGAGGGCAGATCTGTGCGTTCCCCCCCCCCCATAGCTAGCAATCCAAAACAGTCCAGTGGAGCCTGAGTGGTGGGTGTTGTCTTCTGACACACTACCGGTGATGTCAGGGGGTGTGGCATATGCAAATAAGTTATGCTAATAAGTTATGCTAATGAGCTCTTGCACCTCTTTTTCTACGAAATGATCCCTGCTGAGAGCTACTTCACTGGGGTAAGACCAGGGCGATGCAACTTAGGGGCACGGTTTAGATAGAGGTCCCCAACCTCATTAGGGTTGCCAGATCCCCATCAGGGGTGGGGGAACCCCCCACATTTGGGGGTGCTTCCCCGCCACCAGCCAGCTGGCCGACGGGGGGGAAGTCCCACCCCCAGCTGGCCTGAAAGGTGATGTGATGACATCAGCTGTAAGTAACATCATCATGTCACCACCATCACACAGTGACGCTCTAGTTTTTGGGCAAAATTCTGTGTTAAAATCGCCTACAAACCATAGAGTTTTGCCCAAAAAACTAGAGCGTCACCCCTTCCCCCCAATGTTGGCGATGTGATATAACTTCTGTGCGATGTCACTGTGCAGCACGTGCAAAGCGCATAGAACAGAAGATCCCAGGAAGGAGCCTGGATCCCCCTGCCGGCTGCCAGGCAGGACCTGGGAACACTAAACCTCGCTGAGCCGGTGGGCACTTTTGGAATCTTGAGAACACACGGCAGGTGCCCCACAAAATGGCTGCCATGGGGGAAGGGTACAGACCATGCCAAAAGGGATGTCGTGGGGACTGGGGCCAGACAGAAAATGTTGGGATGTTCCGAGCCAAGCATTCCTCTACAACAGAGTCAGCGGTTTCTGAAGGAGTGCTCCCTGCAGACCCTGAAGCCCCTCCTACTCCAACGAGGTGGAGGAAAGCAAGGATTCACTCTTCGCTTTGGGGAAGAGACACTTTAGGGGAGGAGGAAGCGGGCATCATAAAGCAACATTGGCAGGCACCGTGCTGCTCACGGGTACCGTATCAGTGATTCACCGGTCTGGGGTCTGCTCCGACTGACTCCCGGTGAGCCCTCCTGGGTCAGAGTAAAGGTGCATCTAAGTCCAGCTTCCTTGATTCCCTCCACAGCTGTAAATCACTCCCATCTCAATTTAAGGCCATCAAAGGGCACCGGCCACCCCTACCTCCTTCAACAGCAGATCTGTCCGTCCACTATGTATGAAACAAGGGTTGCCAATTTCCCTGGAGAAGACGGCTGCTTCAGAGAGTGGACGTCCTAGTCTTGTGCCATGCCGGAGTCCCTCCTCTACCCAAATCCCTCCCTTGCCAAACTCTGCACCCAAATCTCAGGGATTATTCCAATCCAGAGCTGGATACCCTGCATGGAATGGTCAAGGGGCACAACTAGGACTAGATGGACTTCCTCCCGAGTTTCTCCTTCTGATGTGCTTCACAGCAGTATCCCTGAATCCTAGAACTGTATGGCCCTTCCTCTGTGGGTGGTTTGTTCCCAGCACGCTGGCACTTCACGAGACACATGAAAAAGCGACCTCAATCAGGCGCAGCGACACCTACCTCTGTAGCCCAGTGCTCCCAGGGCTCCATAGGGCTTGGGAGGTTTGCCTGTGGGGAGGGAAGAAAGCGGCGGTGAGGCAAGCAGCCTGCCCCTTCTGGTCTCCCTCCCGCCGCCCCAAGCGAGGACTGACACTTACCACCATAGCCCAATTGGCCTGCCAATCAAAGACAAACAGGAGAATCTGGTTAATGCAGCAACATCCCCGTGTGGCTGGCTCCCCCCCCCCCCCCCCCCCCCGGGGGGCGGGGGCGGGCCCCCCCCCCCCCCCCATCTCACACCATGCCAGACACAAATAACCATGCCAGGCATCCCAGGGGAGAAAATCGGGGGAAAAGCCCCATGAATATTCCTCAATATGCTTCCTCCTATTCAGATCCCTGCTATGTAATCATCTAGGGCACGCTGATCCTGCTCTTCCTTCAAGGTGCTCAAGGGGGTAAACTTACTTACTTGTGTACATTTATACCCCACTTTTCTCACTGATGGGGACCCAAAGTGGCTTCCTTCATTCTCCTCTCCTCTGTTTTATCTCCACAACAACCTTGTGAGGTAGGTTAGGCTGCAAGTGTGTGCCAGGCCCGGGGCTATCCAGCAAGCTTCCGTGGGAGAGTGGGGATTTGAACCTGGATCTCCAGATATTAATCCCACCACTACACCATGCTGCCTCTCAATATCTAACCTTCCCCCTATCTTTTCTGCTCAGTTGAACACTGTCAGCCCTTTGAGGCAAAGTCTGCATTGCTCCCATAAGCTGAACACTTTGCAGGACTCAGTTGCTTAGTGCTAGTAGTGTGTGTGTGTGTGGGGGGGGGACACAGTATTGCACGTGGCGCAGCCCAACCCGGGGGAGACTTTCTGTATCCTCTCTCTCCCCCCCAGCACAGCTGTCACCTCATTTGAACCCATTCCACGAACACTTTCAGTGGCTACCTCTGGCCCTTTTGGGGAAGGCTTCCATCCCATTCCCTCCAGCACCCAGATCCAATGGAAGCGAATCCAGAGAACGTACCTGGAGCAATGGGAGATAACCCATATGGGAGAACACCCCCTGCAATGAAAAGGGGTGTGTGTCAAAAAGAGGTTTGAGGGACCAGCAGGTCATACATCTGGTTCACACATACAGGTTCATCTTGATAACTGCAGCA